GTTCCTATGGCACATAGGTGGAAATACAGTACAATTCTTAGGGCAAGAGAACTCCTGGACCCTTCTTAGAAAGAGTCCCAGAACTGGCTTTTTTAGTAGGTGAGCATAGCTCAGATGTATTAGTGCCTTGTATATGCTCCTGAGGTTCTTTGACAATACAGGAGGCTGCTACATTTTCCTAAACCTCCCAGTCATGAGTCTGTGTAGCATGGACCCTGCAGCTTGGACCCAGGTTATGGGGAGGTAATTTATTTGGAAAGCAGCATAAATGCTTAGTGTCTCTAAGGGCTGACTAACATTGTACTATATGGTTTTGTTTGTGTTCTGCAGTTCTGTGGATTGAACCCTGGGCCTTCTATGTTCCAGGCCTGTTTTTCACCAGTGGGGATGCATTCCTTGCCCTTTACTGTTTCTTCTGCCTCAGCCATCTGAGCAACTAGGAGCACAGGTACTATCAATTGTTTTAAGTTCAAGTTGTTTGAAAGTTATTAAAGTACTTATACCACAACTTATATGGCTTAGACAATTGTGACTCACAGTTCTGAATGAGGAGAAGTGTGAAATCAAGCTGTCAGCAAGTAGAACATGCACTCTTTGAATCTCAGGGAGGAAGGAGCATTCCCTGTATGACCATGGCTTAAATTCTACAACAGTCTCTGACATTCGTTAGATATCCGTTTATCTGTGTTCACATGTACATCTCTTAGTGTGCATTTATTTTCAATCTCCCTCTTATATTTGTATGTGTGTGTGTGTGTGTGTGTGTGTGTGTGTGTGTGTTGTATGTTTTGTGTGGATGTGCCTGCATGTGTGCATCTGGAACCCAGGGATTGACATGTTGTATCTATCCACCTTATTTTTTTCAGCCATGGTCTCAAGAAACCTGGGGCTCCCCACTGGCCAAGAATAACTGGCCAGTTAATGTCAGAAGTCCTTCTGTCCCTTCCTCCTCAGTACTGGCATTACAGGTGTCCTCTGCTCTGTCTTGCCATTTTATGTATGTGCCAGGGTATTGAATTCTGGTCCATTTATCTAGTAAGCACTCTACTGACTGAGCCATCTCTTTAACTTTCTAATTTTCCCTGTTGTATAAGAGTACTAATCATACTGGATCAGCACACAGTGTACAAAGGTTATCTCTGTAAAGACCCTATTTCCAAATAATGATATATTTTGCTGTGTTAAGTGTTGGCACTTTAATGTATCTTTTTAGGATCAATAATTCAGCACATAATCCAAGGTAACACTTTTGGCATATAGTACAAAATGAAGGTCGTTCTTTCTATATCTCTAAATGAGACTTTTCATTCAAAATGTTTCTCACATCATTCTTGAGAGTTTATTTCTATCTAAATCCTATGTATATATCTGTATGCTATCTTGTGTTTTTCTCAACTTTAGAGACTGTCTTCTAACTTCCCGTCATGATAGATGAAATTATAGTTCATTTATTTCTTCCTTTATGTGGATATTTTAAACCCTTGATTATGGAAAATGATCAAAGTTACACACACACACACTCGCACATGCATCATGGCTCAACTGATTCTTTTTTTTCACATATGATGAGTATTTAATATCAATGAAAATAATGCACACAACTGTCAAGTGTCTCATCGTGCAGAGTTCTGGTAGAAAACAATGTCTGCTAAAACACTCTGCAAAATGGAGCATCTGTATCAAAATGTGTAATTGGAATCAACCAACATAAGATATCAGACAAACCCAGAGTGGGGGATATTCTATACAATAATTGGAATATAGTCTTCAAAACTTGCCATGGTCACGTAAGTCAAAAAATTAAAAATACTAGTTTTGGAATAAAGGAAACTAAAGAACTTAGCATAGGATTCCTTACCATATTGTTGGCTAGGTTTGTTTTTATTTTAAAAACAGCTAAAAATGAAATACGTTTTTATATTAAATATTAAATAATAATTTATCAATTCTAATGTTCATAATAAACACATAAGCATACAAAAGAAAAATTCTTTTTTTATGTACACTGAGGTGTATAGTACAGAATGAATTGTGTATGTAACTATTTTCTCTCAGATATACATTTTTTATAAAGCTTAGGATTATACCCAAAGTTTTACATATTTCACAATTTCTCTACCACTCAGATACATTCATATACATATATATTCATATATATATTCTTGTGACTGCACCCCCTGAACCTGCCTTTCTATGATGTCACCCTTCTCTATCTCCATGCCCCCTTTGCCTTCCTTTCCCCCTCTTTCTCCCTTCTCTCTTTTCCCTCCTGCTCAAGTGTTCTCATTATTTATATTCAGGGTTTTCTTCTGTATTCTGAATATATATATATATATATATATATATATATAATCTTTTTGAGAAATATTTTCTGAATAATTATTTTTATCCTGCATATTTATAATATAGAGCATTTAAATATATATTTACTCTATATGGAAAATATCACCAAATTTTAACAATTATGGAACTGAGAGAAAATATTGAAATTTTTCCAAAGTGCAAACGACACAAAGAAAATTTATTCAAGTCTGAAGGAATCTGCTGTGCAGCTAGAGAACCTTCACTGGCTGGACCACCTCCACCAGCCTGGGGAGGACTGTCATGGTACATTGGCCTCCTAAGGTTGCCATAAGAAACTATCAAAAATTTGATAATTTGAAACAACACGATTTTCTTCCTTCTCAGTTCTAGAACACAGAATTGTAAGGCTCAACTGATTCTAATGTCTACTCTTGCTGTTCTTCTTCCTTCCCACAGATTTTTTTGAAGGAACTCCACAGCAAACATGATGCATGTTTAACTTTTAAGTAAATTTTCTTTTGTGAACATGTATGCATGTGCTGCCTATTCTCAGAGGCCAGAGGTCTTGGATATCTGTCTCTATTACTCTCTGCCTTATTCCTTTGATATAAGTCTATCACTGCACATGGAGCTCCTGGTTTTTATTTTTATTTTTTCAGCTAGGCTGGCAGCTACTGTCTCTGCCCTCTCCATTGTCCTCAGTGTTGGGGTTACAGGTATTGTTGGGGACCTTGTACTGATTTTACTTAGGTTTTGAGAAATGAGTCAGTCACAAATTATTTAACATTCTAGAAATTTAATATTTTAAAATAAATTTTATATAGAAGGAATTGGCCTATTTTCTTTGTATGTGCCTATTATATGTCACATTGGCACTGAGCCACAGAGAAATGTCTACCTTTTTTTTGTTTGTTTGTTTTAGAGTTATTGCAGAAGTCAGAAAAGGGTTTCAGTTTCCCTAGAACTGGAGTTATGTATGAATGTGACTCATGAGAGTCTGCCCCGGTCCTCTTCAGGAGCAATGACAGCTCTTAACCACTAAGTCATCTCTCTAGCTGACAGAGCTAAAGGTTTTAGGTTTTAGTGAAATTACATGATCTCTTTAAAATGTTCAATGAAATAAAATATGAGTGTAAATCATAGAGGACATTTTATATTTTTGTCTGTTGCAGTTAGAAAATATCAGCTTTGAGTTTTCAATAGTATTAATCATTCCCAGCTATAGAGTCTACAGCCAAGCAAGCCATGTTTTCCTTCACCTGGACTATGTACATCCTTACATTTGAAGTAATTTCTTTTGTGGTCACCATTGCCATCCACTTCTGTGTTTTGGCTTCCAAGTCTCTCTGGTTGTAATGCAAGATGAACCTCAGCTATGTTTCTGTTTGGATCTGAACCATGGCCATAATTGTGGAAAACACTGAAGGGTATCTTCCATGGTCTTATTCACTACGTTTCCTCCTACCCTAAGCCTAGATGTGAGGGTGCTCAGAGACCTTGTTTGTGAACTTGAAAGGAGTCTACCAACGAACTACAAACACTTTTAGAAGTAGGAAACCCATGCAACACTGTCCCGTATCTTCTGGATTAATGCCTTTGTTCAAGAAATTTAGTCTTTCATAATTTTCAGTTTTGAACATTAATGAGGATATTAGTAGCATATAGTATTGATATGAGAAGAAACTACTGCCTTTAGTTTAACATGTTGCCTAGAAGGTAAGATGCCACAATACCAATATTTTTGCAATAACAAATTCAAAACTTTCATCTGTATGTTTGACATTGTGCTAGATTATTTATTATTTATTTTATGGGTGGGGGATTAAGTGTGACTCATCAATAGAGGGTCTAGTTTTTCAAGCTTCATTAGGTAGAAAGAAGACATAGCATACCACTCTTGATCTTCAGTCAAAAATGAACAGTGGACAATTGTTGCCACAGGAGTCTGACTCCCACTCACTGTGCCCATCTCTTCTTCCCAGAATTCTTTTCTGGCTGGCTCCAGCCACCATCACTGTCTACTATCTCCTGCACAATTGCTGTTCCCTCTCTTTATACACATCATTTGGATTGATTCCTTATTCAACTATAACTTTATTAATGAGGTTCTGACTAAACTACCTCATAGAAAATAAGAATCCCCCCCCCCACAGCTTTATTTTGTTCAGGCACATTCTCCGAGTTTATTTTAAGCTCAATCAGAGCAGGAACTGAGAACTCCAGCACTGCCAACAATGCCTGGTATACATGTACTTGTGAGCATGTGTTTGTGTATGTGCATGCAGTGTTTAATAAGGATTTGTTGAATCAATAAAGAGGAAAAGAGATCTTTTTCGGTTTAAAATGAATTTTGCAAAGGGCTTCTTTGGAGAATTGAAAGAAAATTAACATGTATAGAGGATATAAGGGCAGTGCAGGAGTTCCAGGTAAAAGGCACAGAACTAGCAAAGGCAAAGAGGCAAAAAGCTAGTCAATAGCAAAACCTTTGGAACATCAAGCCTCCAGTCACCACTGTCTACTGTAAAATGTATGCTGGAACAGCCACAGCAGCAGTGTTTCCGGTTAAGGTTCCGCCCACTGTGACTGATCCTGCACAGACTTCCGGCGCCATCAGGCTCCACCCCCAGAAGGAGGGGGGGGTAGAAGAGAGTTGCGCAAGCGCATTCACACTCCGGCCAGTGCCTGGGCCTTTGGGCCCGAGGCGGTTGTGTCGCGCAGCCTTCTCTGCTTGTGACTGTGGTGGTGGTGGTGGCAACAGCGGTGACAGCGGCAGCAGCGGTGACAGCGGCAGCAGTGGTGGCCGTGGCGGCGGTGGCGGCGTTGGAGGCGGTGGAGGCAGCGTTACAGCTACCTAATGGTCCCGCTGTAGTCTGACGCCACATTCTAGCAAGGCTGCGCAGAGGCAGAAATGTCGCCACTACCGCCGCCGCCTACCTGGCGCCAGCTTAGCTTCAGCTTGTTGCTAGGTTCCTTCTGCATCGCCCTGGAGTCCACAGCGCACAACTCTGCTACAGGTGCCAATTCCTTGTTTCTTGTCTTATCCAACCTGTGTCTGTCCCTGCTAATTTTTTTCTTCCATCCATTCTATCTTCCTTTTTCATTCTTCCTTCATCCTTTCCCCCTACATTTTCACTCCTCCCCATCCTCTATCCATCTTTCCTTCCTTCAGTCTATTCAGCCCGAATTCATCTTTTATTCATCCATTCCTCCTTCCTACCCCCCCCATCCTTTCCATCCCTTCATGTTTTTTCCATCATCTTTTTTTCATTAATTTTTGAGGATTTCATAAATGCATTTTATAACATCCCCACTGCTCCCCCTTTCTCCTCCCAGATACACCCCATTCCCAACTTTGTTCTCATTTTTTGATTTTATAACCCAGAGTCCAGTTTGTGCTGACTGCCCATATACACATGGGTGTGGAGCCATCCACTGACACAGACTTCATCTCTCTTAACAGTTCTTTCCTCTCTATCTGTCCATTTTCCTTCCTTCCACTCCTCCTTTTCTTTCTGCTACTTGTCTTTTATCCACCCTTCCTTCCTTTTACCATCTTTCCATCTGTCTTCTATTCCTTCCTTCTCTTCATTCTTTGATCCCCCTCCCATCTCTGTCTCTGCCTTTGTCTCTTTCTTCTTCACCTAGATGTGGGGACATGACTGAAAGGTAACCCTCACCTTGGATTAGGGCTTTGGTGTACTCCAGTCCCACCCTTGTGACCCCTTTTCTGCATGGACTGTTAAGGATCAGGGGCTAGCCTTGATCCTCTCATTACCCTAGGGAGGGGGGATTTCAATGTCAGTGCATGTGATATAACCAAAGCCCCTCCCTCCTGTGCAGATGCTTTGAATATCCTTCTAATCATCGTGGACGATCTCCGCCCCACTCTGGGCTGTTATGGAGATAAGCTAGTGAGGTCCCCAAACATTGACCAGCTGGCATCCCATAGCATTCTCTTTCAGAATGCCTTTGCTCAGGTATGTCTCAGACCTTTAGATGTGGGTATATGCCTCTTTGTGTATACACAGTAGGGAGGGAGATGCATGTTGCTGCTCTAGAGACCTTCTTGAAAGAGGAAAGCAGAGCTTAGAAAATGAAGGCCTTTATATCATTTTAATTTCATGCAAGTATTAAGATCAGTTCTAGGTTGAGGAGGGGGGATGGGATAGGAGGTTCTAAGGAGGGGAAATGGGGAAAGGAGATGACATCTGAAATGTAAATAAATAAAATATCCAATAAAAAAAAGGAAAGAGGAAAAAAAAAAGAAAGAGAATGAAGGCCTAGGCAAGCCTGGTCTCCCCTGACAAGGAAGCTTGCATTTGCAGGGTTTCCCCTTTTCCTTGGATGGAGACAATGCCGTGGCCCTAATATGTTTAAGACAGGCTTGGCTAGCTTTCAGCTAGAAACAGGAATTGATGGGAGCTAAAAAAGACAAACTATGGGCCTGCCAACTGGATGAGAGTCAGTCATCTATCCATGGCAGTTGTCCTCCCTGAACCCCTTTTTCAGGGCTACTCTTTTAGAGCATCACCCTTTCTGGGTACCTAGGGGTGCTATTGCATAGGAAAACACATACAATTGCTGTTTTGAGTGCCTTATTGCTGTCTTCCTTTGCTAGGAAGACAGCAGTCTTTAGTACCTGGGTGAGGCCCAAATCCCACTGGTTGACTTTGACATCGACATGACTCAGCTGCCAGGCTGTTGCTGAGGATCTGGAGAGGTTGCTTAGTTACCTTGAAGACTGCAGACACATTTGGCTGTGACGTTGTTGACATTTGCTTCTGCTCCCTAACAGCAAGCAGTGTGTGCACCAAGTCGAGTGTCCTTCCTCACTGGGAGGAGGCCTGACACCACTCGCCTATATGACTTCAATTCCTACTGGAGGGTCCACTCTGGAAATTTTTCCACCATCCCCCAATACTTCAAGGAGAATGGCTACGTGACCATGTCGGTTGGGAAAGTCTTTCACCCTGGTACTGTTCAATTACTAAAGCCTGGGCTCTCTGTTTCTGTGCCTGAATACTGGGTTGGGACTATCCTTGTAGTGGTCTTTCCTCTGACAGGCTTAGGTAACTTGTTGTTGATTGATGCCATTCTATGAAAAACAACAAAACAAAACATTTCTTTAACCTAGTTTCATGTTCACATTCTAAATGAAAAAGAATAGAAAGAAACTGGTTTCCTTTTAGAAGTTGGAGCTGATGTCGTCAGACCCATGTAGCAGCTGTTGGAGAGGCAGGTTTGGTATCAGTTCAACTCTGGGCCTGACCTCAGGGTGATTCTTAAAACTCTGGGCTTTGCAGGATGCCTATCTGTAAAGTTTGGGGGTGAGGCAACTTCATCTAAGGACCTCAAATGTCCAGAGGTACTGTGTGTACTTGATGTCCAAGTATGGGCTAGCTTGGGGAAAGCTACTGCTTTCTCTGTGAATAATGTCAGAAAGAGGAAGTCAACTGGCTGTCAAATTCTGACTTTGAATACTAACTGATAAAGTAGTTATTTACTTCCTAAATGAAACATAAACAACATTTTAAAACAGATAATAGGATCACATGACAAAGGTACAAAAGGAATAAAAGTAGGAAAAGAAGAAGTCAAACTACCCCTATTAGTAGATGACATGATTATTTAGTTATTTACTTAGTTATTTATTTGGTTTTTCGAGACAGGGTTTCTCTGTATAGCCCTGGCTGTCCTGGAACTCACTCTGTAGACCAGACTGGCCTCGAACTTAGAAATCCGCCTGCCTCTGCCTCCCAAGTGCTGGGATTAAAGGTGTGCGCCACCACTGCTTGGCGATTTTGAAAATTTTAAGAAACCAAAGAGTGTCGATGAGTAATTGCACCACCCATGAGGAAAGCTATGTTTAATGTGGCAAGCAAAAAAAATCCTTCTTTTTTGGACATAGTATTTTTCAGATTTGTGGTTATGTTATTTTTATAATTTTACACCATGAGTGAGAGTAAATATTTCCTATTATATTACACTCCTCAAAAATTCATTTTTAATGACAGCATAGTAGTCCGGCATAACAATCATGCTTCTGGCTTTTTACTGATGTGAACATCTGTGGAAACAGACTTGTCTTCACTGGGAAATGGCATCAGGGATGTAGGCATCTGGGCATCTGGTCACGGGATAAGTGTTGCCACTTCTTAGCCATGTGGCTGACGTTGGCTAATAGTTTACCTTCTCCTTTGAGTATCACATTCCTTATCTGTGATGCTGGGGCTGTAGTTTTCTTGATGCCCAACCAAGGGAGCGTGCTAGTGGGAGCATGCATGTGTGTTGAAATGCTAGAGCTGTAGACATGATGGGACTTCTCACCGAAGGAGATAGCATGAGTGTCTCCAAGAGCTCTTTGTACATCATTAAAACCAACAGGCTCAGGAACTTTCTTCTGGAACCTAGGCTGCAGTCCAGGTTGAAAATAGCAGTCAGTTTTTAAAAAAGCAAGCCCAGTCTTGAAAATACACTATCAGAAATCATATTGTGTGGGTGAAAGCTGATTATCAGTTCAACTTCCTAGTTGGTACAACATGGCTTGCCTGAGGACATCTGGAGGGAAGTGAGTATTTTCTAGAGGAGAGGTTCTACTTTGGGAAGTGAAACCAAACAAGGCCTGTCTGCTGTTCCTTGATCTCTTCCTGATGAGTAGATTTAGGGATAAGGTTCTCTGTTTCTTACAGATTGCTAACTTCCAAGGCTTAGTAATTGGGAAGTTAGATGCTCATTACTAAAATCATGGGCAGTTGATCTTAATGGAAATATTATCTATCTTGAGGTTCTGATTTTCTAGGTGAGGAAACTGAGGCCTAAAGAGGGGAGGAGCTACTTGCATAGTTGTTCACTTTTAATTTGGCAGTAGGTAATTGAAAGTTCTTTCATATTTAATTCAATAATTTTCTTTCCCCCTTTAAGGTATATCTTCTAATCACAGTGATGATTATCCATATAGCTGGTCTTTTCCACCTTATCATCCATCCTCAGAGAAGTATGAAAACACTAAGGTAGGTCTGTACAAGGGCCAAGAAAGCACTGTCTTGTCTAGCAAATGAACTATTAAATATATTGCACTTTCTTCTAAGCTGGTTATGCTATGTTTGTAGCTTTTACTTTTAGTGATGTCTTATAGAGGCAAGCATTAGGGTCTTTAGAGATTGCTTTGATGGACACAATGAGTACCTTTTTGTGAGATTAATGTGTTTTACTACATGGCCTAGACAGGCTGGTTTGGAACTTGCTCTGAAGCCCAGGCTGGCCTTAGACTTGGAATCCTGTTGTATCAACTTCCCTCATGTTGCTGGACTTAGAGGCATAGGCCACCACACCTGGCTGATTGGGGTATTTCTCATTCTAAAACCTTATGTTGGGTCATGGTCACAACTCACTCAGTAAAGTACTCACTCTGGAAGCATGAGGATCCAGGCTCAATTCCTAGTACTCATCAAGAAGCCACTGTTGGGGACACTATCAGCTCACTGTAGCTTGGTGCCCAGCTGGCCTAATATCTCAGAACACAAGGTGAGTAGCTTTTGAGAAACAACTGAGGTTGACCTCTGCTTTTCATGTACATCCCTACATGTGCAGTGGCACACACATAAACATGTACACATACACAGGTAATGAATTCAAACCTTAACTTTAAACAGTAGTTCACTTAAAGGAATTGTGATGGTCACTCTGGATGACATTTTGTGCTGAGGATCATATCCTTTTGATATCTTTTTGATGTTTTATTTGGGTATCCTTTAATTAGTTATGGTCTGGAGATAATTCATAGCAGTAAACTGAATGTTGTGTGGCTTTTGCCCCCATCTGGAGAAATTCTTTGCTGATTCACTTCTGCTTTCAATATTGCTGTTCACCCTGAGTGACTTTAACAACTTGAGGACTGGTGCTGTTCATTCAGTGTGTATCTGTCAGGATTTCTATTTATTTAATTTAATAGAATGTTATGTATTTTGTTTTGAAAGACATGTAAGGGACAAGATGGAAAACTCCATGCCAACCTGCTTTGTCCTGTGGATGTGGCAGATGTGCCTGAGGGTACCTTGCCTGACAAACAGAGCACAGAGGAAGCCATTCGATTGTTGGAAAAGATGAAAACATCAGTCAGTCCTTTCTTCCTGGCGGTTGGATATCACAAGCCACACATCCCCTTCAGATACCCCAAGGTAGAGCTGCTACTATATCTGTATTAATTATTCACCAGAGAGGCATTTGCATATTGAAGGGGTTCATAACCTACCAGGATGCCTGATGCTTACTAGTGTACTTGGAATGATGGTAATCATAGTTTAAAACCAAGATGTACTCTTAGGACATGTAAAGATTTTTGGAGGAAGCTGGTTGATGGTGGCACATGGAGGCAGGCAGATGTCTGTGAGTTCAAGGCCGGTCTTGTCTACATAGAGGGTTCCACAACCACACTACACAGGGAAACCCTGTCTCAAAAGATACCAAAAACCAAACAAAAAACTAAAAAGAATCTTGTAAGAAATGAGGAATATCCTCCACTGGAGGTGTGCTTTCTTTTACTGGAACTCCTCACGTACGTGGGATTACACAATGATGTTGTCCAGAGGGGATGCAAAGCCACCAGGAGCTAAACGGAAGATAATCTTAGGAAACCTAAAGCCCTCTTTCTCAACTGTCAGTCCTCCTTAAGGCTGTGACATTAGACTCCATGGGCACAAGAGACAGAATTGCTTATGGCCACTTCAAATCGATGCTTCTCTATATCGTTTATAATGTATAGTCCTTTTTAATAATCATTTACGGGTTTTCTCTGCTTTCTTTCTTCTGGGCCTGAGCAGCGCAGCATTTTCACTTTATAAAGAATGTTTCTTAGTTATAAGTGAGAGTACAGACTAGGAAGTACACCCTTTGATGTTGTAGGCTTCTTCTTAGATGAGCCTTGTGGATCCTGCCCTCATAGCAGGAGCTCTCAGCATCTTTGGAAAAAGCTTGTGACATCTAGCCTCTTTTGCTTCTGTGTAGAAAAGAGTTCACAAAGCTGTCTAGCTTGCAAGCCTTTCAGAAGTGTGCTTATAACGCTGGCCCTTGTCTGGCAACTAGGAACTTTGACTTGGGAGTGCCTAAGTAATTTTGGCACACATGGTACATGCTGAATCACTGGTTTCCTTATGGAAGCCTAACATTTTATGGTTGAGGCAGAATGCCTATGTGATGAGACCCATGCCAAAACTCGGTGCTGCCGTTTTATTGAGCTTCACTGTTGGCAGCATTTTACATGGACTGTCTTTCAACTGGCTGGGGCAGTATGTGCGTGGGAAATTCCTGGAAAAGGACTCTGAAGCTGCTCATTGGTTTCCTCCAGATTTTCCTTCATGTTTGTTTTTCCTTTTCTGATTGGGTTTGAAATCTTTACACTCTAGTAAATGGGGCCTTATACTAAGTCTGTGAGTTCTCCTCCTGACTCACTGAAGCTAAGGGAGGTTTTGGGAACCCACTGTGCTTCACTCCCACCTTTGTATATTGGAAGTAAGGTGGGGAGCAGGAGGAGAGAACAGTTGTTGCTGTAATTGTCAGAAACATGTTTTTGGATTTTGTTGCTGTTCAGATCTATAAGGCATAGAGCTGGTGAGGGCAGGTGAGTACCTGGGAAGCAAGCACCAAGTAAATTTATCAGAGGCTTTCAGAAAACACAACTTTGTGCTTTTGCCAAAGAACTAGCAACCTTGTGGCTTTGTATGTTTTTGTCCTAGGAATTTCAGAAGTTGTATCCGTTGGAAAACATAACCCTGGCTCCTGATCCCCATGTTCCTGATAGCTTACCACCTGTAGCCTACAACCCCTGGATGGACATCAGGGAGCGGGAAGATGTCCAAGCCTTAAACATCAGTGTTCCCTATGGACCAATTCCTGAGGATTTTCAGGTACTAGTGGTATGCTTGGGGGAATATATCAGGCACTGATTATGTGATACCATTGGTGAGGCAACTTTTACGTTCAAGGCCAACCTGTTGACATAATGAGCTCAAACCCAGTCTGAACTAAATAGTAAGATCTTGTTTCAAAAAGACAAAACAAACAAAGAAAACCCTTCCTTGTGTTTTTTTTTTCTGAGCTGTGTATTTCTGTTAGTATTTATTGACATGAGTAGTACTGTGCAGATCAAGTTTTCTTACTAGTACCTTAGCTTCCTAAGAAGTTAGCATTCAGACTTGCTATATAAGCAGGCACAGGGATTGCATGTAGTTTGAGTGACTCCCCCCCAGCCCATGAGGAATTAATACTGGTCTCAGTTGGGATGTTTGTAGTTGTGTAGAAGCCCAGGATCCTTTGTTTGATGGTGCTTTCATTTCCTCTGTGTGAAAGCCTAAAGTGCCACTTGGCACTCTTGGGGTAACTTGAATGAGCTGAGCTTTGGTACAGAGATAGGTAGGGTATCATGGCCAGTGCTGTCAGCTGTGATGTGTGATATCTCTTTGCTCTCAGTTAGTCATTCAATTATGTTGAGTCCTTTCCTTATCCCTCAGCCTTTCTCGGGTGAGTAAAACAGACACGCGTAGCCATATTCTTTCTGAAGTCTTAGGACATAAGTGCCGAAGCAGGTAGTGAGTAAAAGAGTCTGTTCCTGGCACGGTCTGTGTTTGATTTGCTAGGCAGACTTGTTAAATGTACAGAGTTCTGGCCCACCTATGCACATGGACCCCCTTCTCTCCCTCTCTCCGCCCCTCTTCTCTCTCTCTCCCTCTCTCTCCCTTTCCCTTCCTATTTTCTTCTTGTTTTATTTTTTTTCCAGTACTATTGGTTGAACCTAGGGCCTCACATACATTTGGCAAGTATCCTACTATTGAACTATATTCCCAGCCCTAGAGCTGAAGATTAGGCCAAAGAAACCACATTTCCTCAGAAAGCATATCAGATAGTTGTGATGCACTCAGTAGTTTGAGAACCACTGCAAGGAGAATAGATGTTAAAATGAAGTGAGTCTAACACATAAAGGTATCTCGTTCATTTTCCAAAGCTATTTGCCCCCACATTTGCACAGCCAGAGTTGAGGGTGAGGTATGTAAATTCCTCACAACTGTGTGATTCCTGAGTTTGAAGTGGCAAGTAGAGAGCTTGGAAAGCAACACATGTGCCATGTTGCCAACTCATTTCCTATTTCTGCTTTGTTGTCTGATAACAAGATGGTTTGAACTGCAGCTTTAGGTCTAGACCTATTTTATTAGTGGCAGGGAGTAAAAATGCCCCTCTATAATAGACTAGGTGCCAGGGAGGGCTTTAAGCATTTGCATGTTTTGGTTGGATGAAAACCTCAATGTTGTTAGATGAAGAAACTGCTCTGCAACAAGTTGGTGCGACATGGATCTGGTGCCAAGTGGAGCTGCTTTAGCCCCATGGACCTAGAACTTCAAACTTCCATGCTTGCTTTTGTCTGTTCACAAGTTTTGTTTTAAGTTCACTTTCCACCCCATGGCAGTGGCATGACCTCTGAAGTCTCTGTGCATTACTTCTTTAATCAAACAGAAGCAGGATGGATAAATTTTCTGTGAGAACATTGACTTGAGGTTTTCAGTGAAGAGAGGAGAGGATCTGTAGAAGTACACGAGGTTAGTGTCAGCTGTATGGAGAGGACCCCTTCGTGTTCTGTGCCCCTTCCTTATATTCCTAACTATTGGACACAGCAGACAACATGGCTCATACTGTCACTTGGGTGATCTTGTGGATAGAGCCATGCCTCATGCTCCATGGACCTGAGCCATGCTCCCTGGTCTATTGTAGCTTTGGATATCTTTGCTAAACATCACCTCTCTCCTTCCTTCAGCTCCCAGTTTTATGCTTAGGCCTATACTATACCTGTTTGGTCACAAGACTGGCTCTAACCCCTTCTCCTTGTAGCTTCCTTGCCTGACATTCTTGTTACCTTTCATCCCACTGTGTCTTGGGAGGAAGGCCCTATAGCCTGACTCTCCTTGTTCTTGTGTTCTTCTCAGCACAGTTGTTCCATTTGCAGTATCCTAATCATGAGGCAGTCCAGCTGTGAGAACTGCTGGAGAGAATCTCTGGTGCTGCTAAGCAGAGGCTTTCAGCTGCCCAGTGGAGTTCTTTGCTTGTTTGGTGAGGCATATTCCTACCGATGTTCTCTGCAGCATCTTTATCTGCTCATGTCCTTTTGTACCATGTCTCATACATCTGCTAAGTTCTCTCTTCTATTTGCTGCTCTGCTCCATCAGCTACTGTTGGACGGTAGTGAAGAGTGCCCTATTCTGGCTATATCCATGATCTTCCTGGTCTGTTTGTTCGACATCTTTCTCTGCATGGGCTTCTGCCTCCCTGGATCACTACTGGCAGACATTGACCTTGTTGGCAAATTCTATCTTTTCAGTCTCTGCCCCACCATCCAAGCTTGGTGCCACTTTCTCTAATCTAACCTAAGCTGTCCAACTTCTGGGCTTCCTTGTAAACCTTTCTACCCTTCTTCTATTTCAGCATGCATAACAGAAACCTCCTATATTTCCCACTTAGTGTTGGGTTAATGGTGGGGGGGGGGGTCCTGTGGCTTCCCCACCATGGGGCTAGGGCAGCTCTGGGAGGCAGGATAGGAGGGAAGTTTGATTGCGCTCATCCCACATTGGTTCCAGGCGGGAGTCTGTGGCTTTGTGAAGCCACAAGATCCTGCTCCAGGGTTGGGGAACACAGTCTAGTCTGGGGGAGCGGGAGCTAGCTGGGTGGAAGGTCTCTGGGCCTGCAGGGGGGCCTGGAACCCACTGGTTCTCAGTCTCTTGGGCACCCAGTTGTTGCTGGAAGCCTCGAAAGAGCCAAGAATGAAATGGGGCCCACAGGCTGGACTGGCCCAAGGTAGAAGGGTAGGGGAGGAGAGCAATCTGGCTGCTCCCTCTGGAGAGAGTCCTTGGCTTGTCTCTTCTCTGTGTTTGGCTTAGCTTTGTTACAGGCAGCTGGCTTAGTGGTCACGGTGGCTGTGGCTGGGAACGCAAAGAGGTCTTCTGTGGTAGATTAGACGGCAACCCTGTAGGTGAAGGCCTGTTCCATTGTTCCCCACAGTGGATCCTGATGAAAAGAAGCAGTCCATGGTTTAAAGATGTTTATTGTCATGGTGGAAAGTAGTTGAGAAACTGTACCATGTTTCCTCAGGGTGGGCCTGAGGTTAAATACCTTTTGCAGGGAGGAGTGTCTGGGAAGGAAAGCTTAATTGGCTATGCCCTTCTGGCCTTTAGGTACCTCATTAATATGGAGCCCATGTGGCCTGTGGTCACACCTTCTACCTGTGTAGGGGTTAGTAGAGACGTTGTCCCTACTTGGCTAAAAGACACAAATCTAAGGAGGGCTGTGGCCTTGTGTCAGGAGCCTGGAGTCTAGGGGCATAGTGAAACACCTGCCGTCCCTTAGGGTCACCTGTGGTCCCTCCTGGGGCTCCTCAGGATCACCTGGGGTCTCCGAGGATGTCTAGCCTGTGCTCAACCAGAAACCAGGCTGCCTTTTAAGGTCCTACACTTAGATATTGTTCCCTGGTCAATTTCAGCTACTCATATTGGCCACTCTTCCCATTCTACCTAGTTAGCCTGTTGTTAGATTGATCCAGGAACTATTCCTCTAGCCTAGTCATTCCTTCTGACTTTCATACACACATCTAACTTCCTGTGAGCCACTCCCAGACAGATGATCATGGAGACTCCAGTTCTGTCCCACATGGCCAGGCCTCCACCCCTACTCTGCCTTTTCTCCTTCTCCACTCCATCCCCTTCTATCACATGGCATCAAATCATGCTGTTTTGTTGCTGACTGAACTTTTGTTACCCTTTGCTTTCTCATCTCCTTGTGACACTGTGTGCCTGTATGCATACCTGATTGATGTCCCCATGTTTCTCTTAGGTCTGCCAATGTTCTCTGAACACATCTTTCTGGACAAGTGCAGTGCATTTTGCTTTTTTAAATTTTGTATATTTTTTTAGACAAGTTTTTACTATAGTCCCAGCTAAACAAAACTGCATGATGATCCTGCTTCAGCTTTCCAAGTGCCAGGATTATAGGTCAATACACAGTACTTTTCGGCCATTTTTTCAGCATTCTGAATTTTTCCTAGGTGCCAGCAATGGCCCTAGAATCTGCCCTGCATTTGCCACGGGACTTTTGCTAACCTATAGCCTATATTGTATTACTTTTATATCTTGAAAAGGCTTCTTGGCCTATAGCCTGAGACTTTTCCTCCTTTGAAGAACTTCCAAGTCTATGTCATCTGGCCCTAAGCCTCTATTTCTTGTCTGCCTTCTTATGTCATTACATAGCTCAACATACCCTGCTCTTCTGTAACTTCACTCTGTTGTATGCATAACTGTTGCTTTAGAGCATCTTGCTCACATTTGGGTAATAGCCATGGGAACTCTTCTGAGAAGTCTTCCCTTTATTTATCCAGACCAACTAACTTGAAGGCTCACTCCATGTCTCAACCTTAGCTTTCCTGATGTATATATGTTTACTTACCTATAATTGTAGCTTTATTAGCTAGGTGGCTCACCAGGTCTGAAGATTCTGCCTACTTCTTTGTTGCTTTCTTTCCATGACTAACATTAGCAGGAAGTGTCTTGATTCCCAGGAGAACTAAAAGTTCTCTACACTCCAGACTGAAAAGTTTATTTACGATAAACTACATGTAGGCAGAATTCAGCATAATCCTTCTATAAGCATAGATGTTTTTATCACTAAAGTAAGATGAAGGGACAAGTCTTATGACTGTCCTTATCCTAGCAGTGACAAGTAGCAGCTGACATGTCCATCTGATAAGGCAGGGGCCCTGAGGAAGGTAGAAGATGGAGCTGATCTTGTAAGTGGTTATCTTGCTTATTACTGCTTGGGCATTAGTAGGAGAGGAAGAGTAATCTTTTTGCCTTAAGACTTGTAAGCAGTAATAGAGGAGTTAATCCAGGAAGGGCTTTTGCCCCCTTTATTTATGGGTATAGACTATCAGTTCCAACAGTCCCTTTTGGGTTTAGGGACTTCAACTGCTCTCTTGTCCTTCATTGTTCTTCTGTCCATTGAGAGTTTGTTACAAATGAGCTAACTTAATAGAGGTTCATGAAGTTAGTGAATTTCCACTTCTTGCTAGATAAGAAAGTGGACAGAGGAAAGGCCTACTCAGGGTCATTATTTGGGGTTAATTTGTGTCTGCCCCAAAAAATATATTGAACTGTTGAGGTCCTTAAACCTCAGACTATAGCCTGCTTTAAGTTAAGATGTAGTCATACTAATCAAGTCCCTAATCCAACATGACTGTTTTCCTGATAAGAAAGGTGTCAGGTAGGGAGGATAGTGACAGAAACACATGGAGACAGAGTGCAATGATTACTACAAGCCAAGGCATGCAGATACCTCTAGAACTTTCAGAGATGGCATTCCCTAAACCTTGATTTTGGACTTCTGGTATCTATGGCTGGGAGTCAATCCATTTCTAGTTTTTCAGTCACCTGTGGCTTGTAATTGAGCTGAGTGGTATCTTTGGCATACCCCTCATCAGAGAGTGTGTGGCTCTGAGCATACACAAGCAGTAAGTGATGATTTTCTGTTTACATGTTCATTTCTAGGGACTGTCCAGAATGTGCAGAGTAGACAGAAAGGAACAATAAATTGCATCCATTTGTCATGATCTGTATCCTAAAGTAAAAGGTTATTAAATTTCAAACACATCAGTTTGGTTCTGCAGATTGTTTGGCTGGCCTTTGTAGGCAAAGGGCTGCAAATGATAGGAAAAGGAACATTAGGTTTAAACTAAGAACAGCATCAGTCAGTGAATGGAGATCTTGGGATTGGGAGAAATGCTTGTTCAGGTAGCTATTCATTTTGTATGCTAAGGTAATTAAAATTGTTCTCATTCTTGTAATTTTTTTCATTTGTAGCGGAAAATCCGCCAGAGCTACTTTGCTTCTGTGTCCTATCTGGATACTCAGGTTGGATATCTTTTGAGTACTTTGGATGATCTTCACCTAGCCCACAACACAATAATTGCTTTCACATCTGATCATGGTAAGCATTTTGCAGTGCACTGGTGAATTGAATATCTCAGTATCCTGCAAAGGACACTTTGAAAAATTCCCATGTACATGGGGTACTCTGAGTCCAGGATCATGGAGTGCTTTTAAGAGCAACTTAGTTGTTTGTGGACCTCCATCTTGGATATGTGAGAATGGAGGCAGGTACTGCATCTTAGTTATTTGTGAGAGAGGATTTGTTTTTGTCTCTCTTAACATTTTAAAAATGTTTTATTATTTTTAAATTATGTATATGGCTCTCTGTTGATGTGTGTACATGAGAACAGTGCCCGCAGATGACAGAAGAGGGCTTCAGACCCTCTGATGCTGGAGCAATAGACAGTTGTGAACTGTCTGATATCGGTGCTAGAGCTCAACTTTGGTCCTCTGGAAGGGCAGGAAATTCTCTGAACTGCTGAGCCATCTCTCCAGTCCCAATTTATTTTAATCTGTATTTGTGTGTATGTGTGTGTGTATGTGTAAGTAATTATCTGAATTTTAGGCAGTTGTGATTCACCTGACATAGGTACTGGGAACTGAACTCAGTCATTTGGAAGAGCAACAAGCACTTTACCCACTGAGCTGTTTGTCTAGCATCATGACCACAATCTCTTAATGGCTGTGGCACTTATTTGTAGCCCTAGCATTATCTAGAGACTGAAGAAGGGAAGTTGCAGGCTAGTCTCTGCAACCTCTTCTGACAAAAGTCAGCAAACATGACTGTGATAAATAAAGTACAGGTGTATACCAGCGCTTCCCTCAGTTCACTCAAGCTTTTGATAGTTGTTATTTTTACAACATGAAATTCTCCACATACAATCATTATCCCACACTTTTGTCTTTAAAGTGTGCTCCTATATAAGCAGGTTGAGGATTCCCAACCTGTAGTACTCACGCTGTCTTTAGGAACGGAGCCTTTAATGAATAATGAATGCTAAGGATTTCTTTTTCTTGCTTAGAGCTGAAAATTTGCATTGTTTTTTTGTCTTCACATATGAATGTATATGATAAGTCTTATAAAAGATCAGGATAGAGGCTGGAGAAATGGCTCAGTGTTTGAAAGCAGTGGCTGCTCTTCCAGAGGACCTGGGTTCAATCCCTAACACCCACATGGCTGTCTCATAACTGTCTGTAGCTGTAGTTCTAGGGGATCCTATACCCTCACAAAGACACACATGCAGGCAAAACATCAATGTATATAAAATAAATTATTAAAAAATCAAGATATCCTTGGTATTAAGGGGCTGGAAAGATGGCTCATTGATTAAGAGCACTGATTGCTCTTCCAGAGGTCCTGAGTTCAATTCCCAGCAACCACATGGTGGCTCACAACCATCTGTAATGGGATCTGATGCCCTCTTCTCCTGTGTCTGAAGACAGCTACAGTGTACTCACAGACACAAAATAAATAAATAAATAAATAAATAAATAAATAAATAAATCTTAAACAAACAAACAAACAAACAAATGAACCTGAAGCCCCTAATAGGGGTCACAGTAGTAGAATGGCTGCCTTCCAGGTCCCTATCATCCAGAAAGAGTTGCTCAGTGCAGCTGAGTGGTAGAGCATGTGCACTAAAGTATGGACAAGTTCCTGCCTTGGCAGAGGAAGCATGTTTATTGGGAGCCTCTTGAAACAGATAAAATTCAGTGTTGTGTGAATTTATTACTTTTAAAAAAAGTATAGTTGTTTTCAAAACTATAGTTTAGAAATTAAAAAATTCCCCTTTGAAAGTTTCTTTATGAACAGTTGTCTGCCTTTGAATAAAGCAGCATTTATATGAGTCACATTTTACAATTCTAGAGGGATTTCCTTAAGTTATCAGGTTTAGTGTCCTCTGGTCTTTACACTGAGGAGTGCAATGGTATCTAAAGTAAGCAAAGCATAATATAATTGATCTTTTTTTTACATTGTATGCTTTTTGATGGTCCAGGATGGGCCCTTGGTGAACATGGAGAATGGGCCAAATACAGCAACTTTGATGTCACTACCCGTGTACCCCTGATGTTCTATGTTCCTGGAAGGACAGCCCCACTTCCTGCAGCAGGCGAGAAGCTTTTTCCTTACCAGGACCCTCTTGATACTGCCTCAGAATTGATGGATGCAGGTATAAATAGACAGCAGTAATAACACCTAACAATGAGAACACCTTTGCTTTATATGTCGACTACCTTATCAGACAACAAGCTACCCCTCTTTGTGGTGTGTTGGAATTCATTCTTAATACTGTTTTTAATGCATATATTTCTTAGCATCTGCCATTCTCTATGTTGGGAATACATGGCAGAACCAGAGCTGACAGGAATGGCCACTGTACATGGGGCCTCTTGGGTAGTCTAGGGGGCCAAAAGAGCATGTGATATTCTAGAGGTGTGAGGGCTGTTTAGAAGTGACAGCAGCATGTCAGATGTTAGAGGAAATGGCTATAGACTACTGGGACAAAGTCTCCCCAACACAAAGTGGAATATTTCACATGCATGTTTTATATCTCCTGTTTTGGGGGGAGACTTTGCAGTTTTGGGGGAGTATTTTTAATTTTGGAGCTCATTGACCTACTAAAACAAGTTCAGTTAATTTGCTCTGTACTCTTGACAAATATCCAGAGTAGTCTTTCTGTGCCATTGTCCCAAAGTCTTAAGTCTTTTTGACTAGACTGAGTGTAAACACTTTTTTTTCAATGATGTACACATGCTGTTTTCTACTTTCATAGTGATGTTATTTATATGAGAGACTTTTCCTACAGATATGCAACTCACACATGCACATACATCTACTCCCCCAAGAAAGAGAACCCGTGACACACCAAAGGAACAATTATACCCAAGTCCAACTTATTCAATTAGTGAGTTTTATTGGAGCTAACAGGACTATGAGTGAGGGATTACTCACAGGAGCACTGATTACTCAGAAGCACCTGCATTGCTGACCACATCAACATACACAGTGTGTTATACACATATAGTAGAATATTATCCATCCTTAAAAAGGAAGGAAATTCTAGTGTATGCTATAGCATAGATGAACCTTGAGGACATTATGTTAAGTGCAAATAAGCCACAGAGGCACATAGGATCAAATACTATCTGAGAGTACTACATGAGCTATCTCTAGGAGTCAAATCCATAGTGCTAGGAAGTAGAATGAGTATTACCAGTTGATGGTAGTAGAAAAATGACTAGCCATTTGGTTTGGTGATGGTGTTGTTCTGAGGCAGTGGGGACAGAGCTATACAAGGAGTTGTAGAAGTGATGGCGTAGAAGTGATGGCGATGATGACACAATATGAATACATGTATTGCCACTAAAACGTGATTAATGTTGTAAAGTTCACATTTTGTGTATTTTACCGTGTTACAGGTAAAATATGGATCAAGTACAAACACTTAGAAATGAGTAATCCTCAACAGACTTTTACACAGTGGGTAGAGCTTTAATTGATTACATGTGTCTGAAACAAGTATTTGGCTCTAAAATTTAAGTAGCTTAAAAATGCTTCTAGCTGGCCAGAAACATTGAAATTTTGCTTCCTGCTAGTCCATTGGATGGGTGTCATAGTGAAGAGTACAGTCTTGAAGTAGCACTTCTAAGCTGCTTTTACAAACAAATGTATGTTGTGTATGAAGATGAGATGGGGAATAGGTGGTGCTCAGACAGGCTTCTGCTTTTTCTGGCTTCTGTAGTGTACTACATGAAACTCTGCTGCTTCCTGTTTCAGGCAGGCACACCGAGGACCTCGTAGAACTTGTATCCCTCTTCCCCACACTCGCTGGACTTGCAGGGCTGCCAGTTCCTCCTCGGTGCCCGATCCCTTCTTTTCATGTTGAGCTGTGCAGAGAAGGACAGAATCTACAGAAGCATTTGCAGCTCCATGACTTGGAAGAGGATGCATACTTGTTTGGTAATCCTCGGGAGTTGATTGCCTATAGTCAGTACCCCCGGCCTGCAGATTTCCCTCAGTGGAATTCTGACAAGCCAAGCTTAAAAGATATTAAGGTCATGGGATACTCCATACGCACCATAGACTATAGGTATACTGTGTGGGTTGGCTTCAATCCTAGTGAATTTCTGGCTAACTTTTCTGATATCCATGCTGGGGAACTCTATTTTGTGGATTCTGACCCACTACAGGATCACAATGTATATAATGACTCCCAACATGGAGATCTTCCCCGCTCACTGAGGCCTTGAGTTCTGCCAGCCTCAGAGGGCACATATATGTCCCCTTACCCTTCTGGATGGTGAAAGGAGGCATGAGACATGGTTATCTCTTCCTACCCATTGTATTAGACATAACCTGAGTGGGAAACAATCAAAACATACATCAGCAAACTGTCCTAGGATTAAGTGGCAGGTGGACCTTTTCATGTAGTCCTTCTTAAATTAGAATTCACCACTGGATTTGGGCTAAGCTGAAACGTTTGTTTTAAAAGCTCACGTAGCTTCGTTACTACACAAGTACAAAGTAAACTAAGGTGTAATCATATCTTTATATCTAAAGACCGTGTTAGCCAGACATAATATTGTACTCAAGAAATCATTTGTTTGTTGAATTTAGTGCATTTCAGATAGTAACCATGTCTTAAGTAGCCCAGTGTGTCAAGCATGTTAACATGAGATTCATTTCTTTCTCAAATGTGAAATTAAAGTTGCTTCTAGAATTATTACTTAGTTTCTAAGACTACAGATTTCAAATTAAAGGTAAAATATCCATGTGATGATCAATGTGATGTTTCTTCATTAAATAATAAATAATGCTTAGTGAAGTATAGTTAAAGTTAGGAAATTCAGTTAACTATTTCAATACTCTCTGGCCCAAATAATAGTTTGTTAGTAAATACTACAACTCTTGAACTCAGTGTCTATCTGTTAAAAACTCTTATTCACAATGAAAAGTATTTAAAATGGAACTATTCCCATGATTTGAGTCATTCAAAATTGTATTCATATTCCTATTTAGAGAATTGCAGATATCCATGTATCCTGGAGGCAGGAGGTATTCTACTTTTTGCTAAAGAAAACGTGTTTATGAAATGTAAATTATCTTGAGGCTTGTGGAAACTTTTCACTAATAGGGTATAAAGTAATTTTCAGAATGTAGTTCTATGTCTCCTAAGTACGAAAGTAACTAGAATGGCATGTAGTAATGATAAGGTTATTTTATTACTGTTGCTCTAACATGGTGAAAACTGCACAATCGCCAGAAGTCTACAGCTTTTTAAATAAGCAGTCTATGTATTTGGTTTGTATTTAAATGAGTAATTTCAATAATTTTCTTAAAAATGCCTCAGTGTCTCAAGGTAAATGTTTTTAAAACAAAAAAGCAAATAGCAATTAGATTAAATTGTTGTCATGTATTAAATTGTAACCAAAAAGTCAAGATAATACTTTGAAGTCTGTAAAATTTCAAAGACAGATTGTTGTTTTTACCAGTTGGCCTTATAGTAGAGTGGTGGATAGTCCTTTTTCTTTTTTCCAGAGCAAGTAATTAAATGTCTTGACAACAGCAGTTTGTATTGCTGGTTTGGGATTGATGGTCCCATTCATCTTTCCTGATCCTCAGATTTGTCTGTTGTCTAGAAACTGGCTTTTACAGATGCTTTGCTCCCATCTTTCCTTGTTGATCTCATGATGTCCACTCAGCGTCATTTTTACAATTTAGTTTAGAAACTCCTCACAGTATGTTTTCATTTTGTTTAGCTTCATTTTCTACTTCATAGTTAGAGGGATAGATTTTGACACAAGTTTTTATTTTACATCTATCTCCTAAAGCACAGTTTTAGTGTTTAAACCCCTCTGAATTCTGCTTCCAATGAAGTTATAAGCCCAGTGGTGGCCACAAGACATATGTGGCTATTTAAATTTGTTGATACAATAACATTTTAAAAGATTTCTGGTACCTTATAATTCACACTTAGAACCTTCCCATCATAGCAGACTGGACAGAGATGCCCTGGATTCAAGCTAGATGGGTTCACCCTGATTGGTAGGTTCCTACTGTCCTGCATTTGCCCACAATGAGCAAACTATATTTGGTTTAGGCATAGAATAGGGAGTTTGCTATGGCCATCAGCTTCTTCCTTCCACTCTCATCACCATTGCCTCTGTCCTTCTCTTTCCTTCCCAAGAAATTTACCTCCCCTCCTTTTCACTCCCCTGTTCCTTGAAGAATCCATGTGTCTTCCTAAAATCCCTCTTGACCCCTGCCCTTTAAGAACACCATCAGTGCCTACTAAAGGTCTAGAAAGACCTCCGCTGAGCAGTCAGAGTCTTCCCTGGCTCCACAATACCCCTTCCCTTGGCTGACTCTCCTTGCCAATCCTTACCTCCCTGGTCCTTCAAGCCTTTGTCCCCTCTTCTTTGCTTCAACCCTTTCATGGCCATTCTTCATAGCCTGGCTTCCCTACCCCCCTGCTTAGAGGCTGAGGCTGTCAGGACTCTCTAGACTGTATTATTGGGAGAAATGAATACATCTTGAAAATCTGGTATTTTCTTCACCTTTTAAAAGGCATTTTTCCCCATTAGGAGTTTGATATGTTTAATTATACAAAAATTAGAAAGCAGAAATGCATTTAGAAGGCAAGAAAATATTGGAGTGCTTTATTCTAAGATCGCCATATCTTATCCTTTTGGGGGTATGAATGCTTTACATTTCTTGATCCTCTATGCTGTTTATAATACAACTTCTGCACTTAACTTTCTTTCTAAACATTTTGTATGGTTACTAGTGATTTTTGATTATATTTTATATTCCTGGTAATATATGTTATTACATAGATTTATTGTAATTTTTCAACCTTCTTTCAGTTGTTAGAAATTTATGTTATTTCCAAATTTTTAGTATTACAAATAATGCTGTGATCAATTTTGTGAATACAGTGTTTTTATATATTTCAAACTATTCCCATAGGCTAGTTTCTCAGTGCCAAGTCATCAAAAACAGCTCCGTTTTCTCTTCATTCTTGCTATGATAGCATATTAAACTTAGAAAAGAAATCCAAAAGTCCTATATTAAAAACCGTAATACCAAAAAGGAAAGTCTGTAGTCCTATAATAATAGGTGAAAGCTATATTCTGCTTTGATGTCTGATTCTTTGCTGATTAATGACATGAACCATTATTCTCTCTGTATAATAGTTGAGTAGTTGCATTTCCAGTTGTGTGGCTTTGTGTGGTCATGTTATGGATCTTATTTTTTAATGTAATAAAGTAAATTGCTCTTTTCCTGTGTGACAGTTTTTCTTGTATATTTGTTCTAAGCATAGAACAACTCCATTTGGGACCTGAATAAATACTCATTTTCCTTTGAAATTTGGGGAGTTCTTAATGTCTTTCCACCTAATTATAAGAGTAATGTATGGTTATTGTATGAAATGTTAAAAATGTAAAGAAAAAAATGAATATGTTTTGTCTGTGTGTGCCTGTTGCTATTGGAGGCCAGAACAAAGAGTTGAATCTCCTGGAACTGCAGTTACAGATGTCATTAGTTGCAATGTGGGTGCTTGGAATTGAACCCAACTCCTCTAGAAGTGCAATCATTGCTATTAACTGGAGAGTCATCTTTCCAGTTCCCTTCATTTCTTTTGGAGTTGTGACAACACACATAGACAAAAGCAACCAAAGGGAAGAAGGCTTCTTTTAGTTCCCAGTCCATCTTGAGGTGCAAGACAAGGTATCAGGTATGTGGTGGTTTGAATGAAAATGGCCCCATTAGACAAATGGGGAGTGGCATCATTGGCCTTGTTAGAGGAATTGTGTTAGTAGGGGTGAGCTTTGAAGTTTTGAGTGCTCAAGCCAGGCCTAGTGTGTTTCTCTCTTCCTGCTGTCTGCTTATCAGGATGTAGAACTCGGCAGTACCATGTCTGCCTATGTGCTGCTATGTTTCCCACCATGACAATAATGGACTATATAAGGCAGCCACAATCAAATGATTGCCTTTATAGGAGTTGCTATGGTTATGGTGTCTATCACAGTTAATAAAACTCTAAGAAGTTTGTACCAGGGACTGGGGTACTGCTGTGATAGGCCTAACTATGCTTTTGTTTAGAGGAATGTGGGCTTTGAGACTTTGGATTAGAAAAGCAGCTGAACACTTTAAGTGGGGCTTAATGGGTCATACTGGTAGGAGCATGGAAGACAGTGGTGCTGAGTGATTTGAACTGTGTGGTCCCTGGGTCAAGAGGATTCAGGGGAGGAGAATATTTGTATGTGGCCTAAAGACTTTTCTTGTAATATTTTTGCCCTCGTACAAAATGTCTGTCTGAGGCTAAATTGAATAGTTTTGGATTAATTAAGTTCACAGAGGAAATATCAAAACAGCCTAGTATTGATTCTGTTGTGTGCTTGTTAGTGTTTACTCTTAGGCAGATTTATAATGAAAAGAAGCAAGCTGAGCAAGGAAGAATAAATAACGTACAATTTAAGGAGAAAAGTAGCTCGAGGGAGTGGAATGAAACTAAATTGCATGTGAAAGGAGCTAAGCAGATTAAAGGAAAGCCTGATATTATATGGGATAAAGAGCGTGGCGACCTCAGGCCAAGATCCTACCTAGCTAAGCTTCCTACTTGTGAGAAGGAATTAAAAGTTTAGGTCCAGGCCTGCACACCTTTAATCAGAACATTCTAGAAACAGGCAGATCTCTGAGTTTGATGTCAGTCTGGTCTACAGATCAAATTTCAGGAAAGCCAATCTTAGACCTGAAGGAAACCATCAACAACGAACAGCTGATGCCAATGTAATTAAACAAGGGGGTTAAGTTCAGCTCCAGCAAACAGAAGACCTTTGTAGCTTTGGCCAAGCAGTTCTGGTTTTAGAGTCAAGGATACAAGGAAGGGGCTATGGAATTTCCCTCCACAGTTAATGAAAGCTGTTGAGTCCAGGTATGTGTCAGGTGTGTCCCTGTGTGGAGACACAGAGAGGACATTGTGTGAAGCTGTGAAGGTGAAGTCTAAATGGCATTGGAGATTACAAAATGTTGGGGATACCAGAGCTGTGTGGGATACCTGCTGAGGAAAGCTGCTAACAAGATGTGGAACCACCCCACCCAGAAGAAAGAAATGTGTTGTAGTCCAAAAAACTGAAAGGAGTTGAAGATTTAAAGAACACTTTGACATCACACATGGAGATGCAGGGATTGGAGTTTGTCCACCTGATTTTCAGTCTTACTTTGGTCCAGTATTTCCTCCCTTTGAAATGGTCATGTGTAGCTGGAGGTGTGGTGGCCGCCTGACTGCCAGCTCTAAGTCAGCTCCTGGTTCTGGCACCATGGTGACAGAATTGAGCATTACCAGTGGGCTACCTTGGCCCAACTGGGTGTTCTCATTTCAGCAGGCTCTCTGGTGAGGCCGTGGTAGCCCCATGCAATGGTCAGCCACCCCATGGTCAGCACCAACCTCGTAAATCAAAATTCTAAATGCTTAAAGTTAACCAATGGATTTATATATCACCAAATACCCAAATCATAAGATGCCCACACAATTTAGAAGGTTATCTCAACATTCCTAACCTTCAGATTTCATATCTACCAATTTACTTGATGTCATATGGGTCCATGTCCGAAGCTATTTCGCCTCCCTTGCTCTCCTCGTGTTTCTTCCCTTCCTGCCTCTGCCCAATCATACGCCTCCTGCTGCAAATAGATTAGGCAGGAAATTTCTGCCACAGTCACATATATCCTATGCGTATATGTTGAAGGTATGTGATCTGCCTTTTGATTTTGATTTTATAGGGGTTAAAGTTAAGAACTTGCAAAGGGATTTTGACTTTAGACTTTTAAACAGTGTTATGACTATAGACTATGGGGACTTTTGAGGTTAGACTGAATGCATTTCTGCATTATGATATTGACTTTAAGCCTGTGCATGCCAAGGAGTAGAATGTGGTGGTTCAAATGAAAATGGCCCCATACGCTTAAAGGGAGTGGCACTATTAGGAGGTGTGGCCTTGTTAGAGTAGGTGTGACCTTGTGAAGTATGTCACTGGGGGTGGGCTTTGAGGTTTTAGATTCTCAAGCCATGCCCAGTGTCATTCTCTTCTTGTTACCTGCTAATCCAGGTATGGACCTTTCAAGTACCTCTCCTAACATGATGTCTGCCTGTGTGTGCTGCCATCCTATTTGATGATAATGGACTAAACTTCTGAAGTGTAAGACAGTTACAGATGAAATGTTTTCCTATATAAGATTTGCCTTGGTCATGGCATCTCTTCACAGCAATAAAACCCAAACTAAGACAAGGATCTTGGAACCCTTCATCATATTCCACAATAGTCAGAAGAGAGTAATGAGCATATATGGGCTAGGGCTCTGCTTGCTTTGTACATGTACAATCCAGGATCCTCAGACAGAATGGTCCTGCTCACAATTCACATGGATTTTCTCCACATCAGTTAATGTAATGAAGATAACCCCTTACAGGCATGCCCAGAAGTCCATCTAAAATTTTGTATTTTATCAATGTGGCAACACTAAAAATCATACCCTTCAGAATATAGCTAATGTTGACATTTTTGTATATTTCTACTCTCTTTTTCTTTTCATAGCTGGAGTCTACCAGTCTTAATTGTGATCTAGTGTAATTATTTTTGTAGACAGGGCTTTATTATGTTGTCTAGGCTGGCCTCAAGCTCAGTATACTCCTACCTTCACAGACGTGTGCTGTCACAGCTTAAATAACAGGATATTTTGTTTTCCAGAACTGGAGATCAAACCAGGGGATCTGTACAACCTAAGCAACTGCTTCAGAAGCATGCTACCCTCAGGCTTTAGCATAGTTTGTTTTCATGGTATTTAGCAGGTATTGATTAATAGTGACAGCTACCACCTTCCCCACACCAGTCTATTTTTGACAAAAATTCTCAAATTTTATTATGCATTTAAAAATTAATAAAATATAAGTCATAAAATTTACCATCTTAACTACTTTTTTTGAGACAGTCTAACTGTAGTCTTGGCTGGCCTGGAACTTATGTAGACCAGGATGGTCTGGAACTCACAGAGATCTAACCTCTGCCTCCCAAACACTGGGATTAAAGGCATTTGCCACCAAACTGTTCTATCTTTACTGTTTTTAATGATGTACTTCTGTATCATAGAATAGGATTACGTTGTTATGCTTCAGCCACCACTATATATCCAGAGAACTTTGTTTTTGCAATACTGACTCTGTTCCATTAAATAGTAACTCCATTTCCTGCTTTTCCAGCTACCATCAACTACCCTGATACTCACTGTTTCTATGGATTTAATTACTTTAGGTACTATATATGTGTAGACATAGAGTTGAGTCCTTTTGTGACCATATTATTGTAGTCTTCATAATGTCTTCAGTATCCCTCTACACTGTAGTATGATAGAAGTGTCTTTGTTTTTGAGGCTGAATAATATTCAGGTGTATGTATTCATCATATTTTGCTTATCCATTCATCTATGGATATACAGTTGGATTGTCTATACCTTTGACTATCACTGACAGGGCTACTATCAATATGAACAAACAAAAATCTGTTCATATCCATTATTGTGATTCTTTTGGATGTTTACTACATTAATCTTTCATTACTTAAGGTATGGGAATGTGGTGTGAGAGGTGACAAAGATGGAGAGGCTCACCTAGGTTACAGAAGGAAATTTCTGCACAGCAGTAAGTGGGTGGCTCTTCGACTTTCCAACCCTTCCATTGCAGGCTTGGTACCCAAGCCACCCATACCTCACTGAATGAAGGGCTTCTAATATGACTTCTCAAAGGGGTCTCAACTTCTTTTCCTCCTCAAAGCTCATCATTTGGGCTCTAGTTGTTTGAAAGACTCTTTTGAATTCTTGCCTGAGATCTGGGTTCAGATTGGGACCTTGGGCTTTTGTCCTTTGCACCTTCTTGCCTATTGTAGTAAAAACTGCTATTAGCTTAGTTCACTTACTCAGCAGTCTGTGGGGACCTCTTTCTTTTCTGGGGGGGTGTCTCTGCTCAGTATGTATATGTGAAACAGAGAGAAATGTCATCAATTGGTACCTTTAAATCACCTGCATGACTGCTATGGGTCAGAGTTCTCACTTCTTTTGGGTCACTCTTCTCCACATGCTACTTGAAAGCTCCAGCTAGCTTCCTTGTTCCTTCATGCACTAGATGTAGCACATTTGTATTTGCTTGAGCTTTTGATAAAATGCATGCCAGTCTGATATGGCTGGCTAGGAGGCCACTGCCAAGGCTTTTTTGGGAGTAGAGTTCAGAGTTTTCTAGTTGTAACTTCAAATCTTGCCTGAGACCACTCTTATTCATAATACAAGAAAAGGATGACTGAGTTTTGTGAGACATGGT